GGCAACTAGACTTTTGTTCTCCCGCTAGCCCCCTCCCACGGACCCCCTCCCTATGAGGGCTTCGCCCCCTGCGAAACGTCTCTCGCAACAAATAGAGCGAATGAAAATCAAGACACACATTAAATGCTCTGTATTTTTGCTGCTCGCCCCAATGGTTGCGTATCGGGACTCTGCCGAATTTAGGGATTGCTAAGCTGCACGAGCAAACGGAACACCAATGCTATGGAATACGATGGTAACAATGACATGCCACCACATTGCACTATCTACCACCCTGGCCGTACGTCATCTTCTGCACAACCTGAGACAAGTTAAGCACATAGTTTGACCAGTTGATTCCCACTAGATTGGACAACCCGACTTGTCCGAGCAGAGGCCGGTGCAAGCTGTCCCTGTTGAATGACCCAACAAAGCGCTGGAGTGCTTGCACGATTTGGATGTGAAAACCGCAACCCAAGATCTTGGGCTCCTAGGTTTCTGAATTTGGCCATGGCCCGTGCTCAGGAGATGGATTTTGTCCCCGGGGCGACTCTTAAAGTGACCACGGGAGCAGAATTCTCAATCAAACTTTCCAGGAAGCGGTCGAAAGCATGCAGGCGCACATCTGTCGTAGAGCACAGATGGGCGATTCGAGTGACCGTGGCCCGTGGCCACGCTAGGTATACAGAAGGGTTATTGGACGATGAAGTGCCGAGGAAGGGCATGAGCGCAGTGTCCTTGAGGTGGTGGGATACTACAAATATGCCTCCAACGATCTCTATATCAAGGTTCAAGAACTGCGCTGCATGTCGGAACCATTCGGCTTTCAGGCGGTAAAATATGGCTAGACGCTGCATGTGCTCGAACAGTGGCTTTGACGTGCGCGAAGCCAGCCCATCACATATCGCGAGCCGTACTTGCTGCGCAGATTTGTTGATAGGACCGTGATCTTGACGAGGGCCGCAAAACAGGAATCTGTGAGTTCCCCAGAATGTGGCGAGCCCATACCTGTACCCTTCATGACGTGGTAAACGTCGTCGGAGAAAGGGTTTCGGACCATCTGGGCACCAAGAAAAAAAACGTTACGACGTGCCGCAAACAGTTGTACTGTGGATTATCGGGGCTCCACAGGGACATGGCAGCCGCCACTATCTCGTCAGCAGTGCCGCACAAGTAATAATCCGTGGTATCAATTTTCAAGAAATGCCAAGTCATGTCTGGGTGTAAGCAAGAGAGCTGGTCCTTGAGATCGCACGGGTCACTAAGCAGCCGCGGCGCGATCTCGTCCAGCTTCTTAGCCAGCACTGTCCTGAGCCAGGCGCCCAGCTCAGCAAACATGAAATTCGGCGTGGCATGGATGGGTCGACAAGTGACGTTACCATCCTCCTTGTGGTCTCGTACACAAGCTACTAACCTTGAGTCTTAACTGCGAACAACATGACACGTTGTGATTTATGATGACTAGCATAGTAAAGTTTGCGTCGGTGTAAGCAAAGGTGACGCATTCCTTGATGGTGAGTTGCAACACAGAAACTACGGCCGTGTTGTTTTCGACAACAGCGGACCGATAGCTTCGTCCTGGGTTGCAGCCTCAACTACCAGGCAGAGACGATGATATCTGCGCGCAATATCGGTGATCACGTTGTCGTTGCACCCCCCGCGCAAATAAACACTTGAGCTGAAGAGCGAATCCGTGATTCTGGGCATCTCTGCACGCAGTACCATCGAGAACCTGCTGTTCTTGTCATTAGGAGCTGCAGCAAACGCACAGTCTGCCAACAGGCGCGAGGCAAGCTTTTCTAGACCAGACACGTTAGACCAATCACGTTTGCAGTGTTGCATCGATCTGCGAGCTGCCAGGGCAGCCTGGAGAATGCCGTTGTGAAATTGGCCCGACAAGGAATTGAGAGAAGCATCGCACACCACATTGCACGCTGGCGTTCGCCTGTCCCTGGGAACGGCAATGCTCGGTGAGTAGTGATTGTGCCGAAGAGCCCAACGCCAAACTTGTTAATCTGACGAGTGATGCATTCGGCAAGGAACTGTCTCGGAAGAAAGATGTGCTCACCGTGTCTGCGGATGAACAACCATCTGACTGTCCGGGGGATACGGCCAGTGTCAACCAGCCTCTTCTCGTCTGGAATGTACTGCTTAACAAGGGGACCGTACGCTGTCCGAGCAGCCAGCGTCAGCATGTCGCCCGCGTCGCACCCGTGGAGGAGTCGACCGAACATGCGGCTCAGGGACGAGCCCCGCCGTTGGGCCCTTTGCGTCTGCCGCCAGCTGCCCCTGCGTTGCCGCCTGGCTTCTTGCCGCCCTTGCCGCCGCCAGCTTTGTCGACCCCCTTGCCGCCCTTGCCACCTTTCTTGCCCTTGAGCTTGCCCTTCGAGGGAGGACGGGCGTCTTCCTCTCGGGCAGGGCCGCTCTTTGGCTTGACGGCGGTACTGCGGATGGCGTCGATCAGCAATTGCCCTTCGGGCGGAACCCCTGCGGTGTCGGCAGGTTGCATGGCGACGTCGCCTGGCTGTTCTGGCGCGGCCACGAGCGACTCGGCAGCAAGTTTGGCTTCGATGCGTGGGTCCACCACTTTTTCAAACAGGTCGGAAGGATTTGTTTTGAGAAGTTCCACCTCCCTCTGCTTCCGAGCTGCCTCTTCCTTTCTTGCCTTGCACTCACAGTCAACCTCTTCCAAGTTGACCGTGTCCATTGGTTGTTCATACATTTTTCGCACCTTTGTTCTGACGCTGTCTGCGGGGATCGCCTCCTGAAGGGACTCCCCAGGGCCAAGCTTCTCGGCGCGCTCTTTGGTGGACGCGTCGTGGACGATAGCCTCGGCCAGTTTGCACAGCTCTTCCTTCTTTGCCAACGACGTTGCTGCTGCGAGCTTGCCTGCCACAGCGGACCGCTCGATTCGCTTGATCTCGCGGGAGCAATGCCAGTGGATGCATTGCATAGCCTCCTTGTGAGTTGCACCTCGTTTCAAAGTGCAAGAGAACACGAACTCATGATCCTGGACGACTGCGTACGGCTCATCCACCTCCGCCAGCGTTTTGGACGCCGAAAATGGTCGAACTCCTGTGGGGTACCTCATGGCCCCATCACGGTCGGACACGTAGCCGTCGAGGCATTCTGATCGTGCTCAGGCGCCTGTTGGTGTGAACCATTGCACGTAAGTCTCCATCTCAGGATGGAGCTTGCTCAAGGCCTCGTCCAGCTCCTTCGGGATGCGGATTGGCTTTGCTTGCGGAGGGGGAGGCGCCGAGCCATCAGCGGACTGCATGGCTGCGGCGGCCGTGGTCGCCGTGGCTAACGCTTGGGCGGCTGCGCTGGCGGTAGCGACACCGCCGGCGGCTTGCTGTATCAGAGCCGCCATGGCCTGCTGCAGATTGTTGTCGCTCTCCAACATCGTCATGGTGTTCGTGGTCACCGTCTGCAGGTCTGCCTGGGCGTCTGCCTGACGGGTCAAAGCAGATCGCAGGTCGGGTTCTTGCTGACCATCTGATGGAAGGTGCCCGGCGGTTCTTTGCTCAGGCACGCGGCCTTCCGAGTGATGCGGTGATCGTTTGTTGCTCCCAGGCGATGTCCCGAGTGCACTCGCAACGCTTGCAAACTAAGGCCTTTCGTCCTGACCAACCATGTGCCGTTCTCAATCGAAGATAGATATGAGACCACACAACAAATAGAGCGAATGATAATCAAGGCACACATTTAATGCGCTGTATGCTTGCTTCTCGCCCAAACGGATGCGTATCGGGACTCTGTCTTAGGGTTTGCTCAGCTACACGAGCAAACGGAGCAAACATGCGATGGAAAACGATGACAACAATGACGACAATGACGACGATGACGGTAATGATAACTCTTCCTTCTCCTCCTCCTCCTCCTCATTCTCCTCCTCCTCCCTCCTCCTCCCTCCTCCTCCTCCTCCTCCTCCTCCTTCCCTCCTCCCCCTCCTCCTCCCTCGCTCCCTCCTCCTCCTCCTCCTCCTCCTCCTCCTGCTCCTCCCTCCTCCTCCTCCGCCTCCTCCTCCTCCTCCTCGCCTCCCGTTTCCTTCCTCCTCCTCCTCCTTCCCTTCCCTTGTCCTCCCCCTCCTCTTCTCTCCGCCTCCTTCTCCCTCCTCTCCTTCCTCCTTCCCCTCCAACTCCTTCCTCCTCCTCCTCCTCCTCCTCCTCCTCCTCTCCTCCTCCTCCTCCTCCTCCTCCTCCTTCTCCCCCTCCTCCTGGGGCCCTCTTGGGAGCCTCTTGTGGCCCTCCTTGGGCTCTCGTGGGGCCGTCTGGGGGCCCTCTTGCGCCGTCTTGGAGCATTATGGGGCCGTCTGGGGCCCCTCTTGAACCGGTTTCGGTCCCTCTGGGGGGCCTCTAGGGCCCTCTTGGGACGATCTTTGGGGCCTCTTGGGCCGTCTTGGGCCCGTCTGGGGGGCCCTCTTGGACCATTTTTGGCC